ATCATGGGCAACTTCATTACTTTCTAACTCATGTATAAACACCTCAGGCTGTTTATGTAAATCCGCATCACTCTCAATGTCAGCAGCTGGCTGGTGGGTCAGTTCTGAAATGGGTTCCTTCTTTGCAAATTGAGTATAAGCTGGTATGAATTCTTCTGGTGTCTGAAAAGATGTACTTTCCTGTTCAATTTCTTCTTTTGCTGCACTGTCCCATTTTGGGTCTAGATAAACTCTTAACTGAGTATGGGAAGAAGGATCAGCAATGGCCACAGAAGGACCTTCCTCAGCTTCTCTGGATCTCTCCCCAGTGGTATCATTTTTTGCTGATGCTGTCCATGAAAGGGAAAAGAAACTCTGTTGTTGGCATTCCTTAGACTGGGAACCTGCTTTTGCATTAAATCAGAAAAGATTATTGAACACCCTTTTGGCTCAGGACTGTTCTCTTGCATATCAATGTTTCCAAGTTAAAAGCATGCCATGTATTCATATTGTGCTGCTGCAGGACATTCAGACTATGTCATGCTGCAGAGCAAGGAATAGCAGAAATGCTTCTGCTGCTGCTATCTGGCTAGAAACTCTGCCCCATGACTCAGAAAGTCATTCCCTGATGAATTTTAGCAGAGAACAGTTCAGGAACAACTCCCTCTGGAGCCAATTGTTTTGTTTACTCAGCTGAGCATCCCAGCTCCTCAGAGCTTGTTAAACCACCTTGTCATGCTGCAAGGCCTGATTTCTTCCTGAGCATTTGGACATGGTTTGGTCAAAGTTACAGTATGTAACAGGACTGGGGGTTTTCTAGGCCTGAGGAAGCTCATAAATGATAACTCTTTGCCTGTGTACATTGATTATTGCAAATACTAAAACATACAGCAGGCCTGTCAGTTGGGTAAAATCCTAGAATACGTATGAGGATGACAAAACAAATCGCAGAGTCATAGAATGGTTTGAGTTGGAAGGGACCTTAAAGTTCATGTAGTTTTCAGCCTTGCTGCCATGGGCAGGGACACCTCCTACAAAACCAGGTTGCTCAAACCCCCATCCAACCTGGACTTGAACACTTCCAGAGATGGGGCATCCCAAACTTTGGTAGGCAAGCTGTTCCAGTGTATCATCACCCTTACCATAAAGAATTCTTCATAATATCTGACCTAAATCTACCCCCTTCCAGTTTGAAGCTGTTACCACTTGTCCTGTCACAACAGGCCCTGGTAAAATGTCTGTGCTCATCTTTCTTATAGGCCCCATTGAAGTAATAAAAGACTGCAATAAGGTCTCCCTGAGCCTTCTCGTCTCCAGGCTGTAAAACCCCAACTCTCTCAGCATTTCCTCATAGAGGAGGTGCTCCAGCCCCCAATCACCTTCACAGCCCTACTGTGGACTCGCTCCAACAAGTCCGTGTCTCTCTTACACTTGGAACTCCAGAGCTGAACACAGAACTCTAGCTGAGGTCTCATGAGAGTGGAGTAGAGGGGGAGAATCACCTCCTTCAGAATGATTGTGTCAAGGGCTCAAGAAACATTTAACAATCCTGCAGTCCAGTCTGCCACTAGAAATGTTTCCTTTCCATTTAGAGATGTTTCATAACTAACAGTTTCAGAACAGTGACTAGTCCCAGATTTTCAGTCTCCACTTCTCTGCTTAATTCCTTTTACCCAACTCCTCATTATCTCTATGCTATTAAGAATTCCCTGCCATCCTGGTCTTCTAGCAAATCGAGTACTTATGGAGTATTTTAGCAGAGATGACCTTGACTATTCATCCTGCTTAGCTAGTTTAATGCTGTCATCACTGTAAAAGTCAGTCCTGTAAAAATAAGCAGAATAACTAGATCTATTGTGAACAGCAGCAGAATTTAAGTGAAAGTAAGAAAAAAACAAAGTCATAATTCAGTTGTGGCTCCATCTATCTCCACATCAATCCAGTGTTTAAACTGTAGAATAAATTGAATCTTCTGTATTTCCCTGAAGCTAAGATGTATGCTCTCATTCTCTGTTGTGTTACTAAGGCAAAACGCTGTCAGTGAGGAGACTGCTACAGCCTTTAAGCACATGCACTACATCAGGCTGTGATAGAAGAGACATAAATCTCTCAGATCCACTAAATCCACACCTGCAATGTTATCAGCCAGTGTAACCCTCTGTGGTGGTCTAGTCAATAAATGGCAATGTTAGACATTGGCAGTTAGACATTCCTTTCATTTTTCTCTTTAAATAAGACATTTCTACCACTGCTGGCCACTATCAGACACAGACACCTGGATTAGAAACATGGCATAGAGATTCCCTGCTCTGTGCTCTCATGATTTCATGTGTAATTACATATAGCACAGTATGTTGACATTAATGTAAAAATCAATGTCATTTAAAATATCTTTTCTTATTTATAAACTATTTCAAATGTTTTCATTTGACAAAGAAAAATTATAGCTTCTCAACATACTTCAGTGAAATGGAAACATGAGGAATGATTTACAGGATTTGAGGCAATTAGGGAGAGAGAGCCACAGCTCTTGATTAATCAAAAGACAAGTGGCTCAGGGTTTTGCTCAAGACATTAATTGATAATCCTGATCCAACTGGAACATTGAGCAAGGAATTCAAACTGGATTGTCTAAGCAAATACCTTCAGCTATTGAACTTCTGATTGCAGGCTGGCTCTGAGAAACTTAGCTCAGGTGAATACTGTGCCTAAAAGAAGTTTTCTGACTGAAAGAATGCTGTATTTCCTATGAAATAAGCATAAAGAAAAGTAAAAAGCACATGAAAATGAAGGTGTATGTTATAAAAAAAAGGTTTTAGTGAGAACATATAAAATACTGAGGCAAAATGCTGCTGATTGCAGGACAACTGCATCAAAGAAAGAGGTCTTTCAGGAAATCTATGCCTGGACCACTGCAATACACAGGTACTCTACATTATGACGCTCTGCAAGAATGGTATGTTTGTAGCCTATCTGCTCCAAGCACTGCAAAAATTAGTGGTAGAGTCATGAGCTGCAAACAAGTCCAACTTTAAAAACTTCATTAATAATCCATGCATGAGCAATATGTTTCCTGGGGTGTTCCCACAGAAATGATCAGAGGACTGGAACACTTCTCCTATGAGGAAAGACTGAGAGTGTTGGGGTTATTCAGTCATGAAAAGAGAAGGCTCTGGAGAGACTTTATTGTGTCCTTTCAGTACTTAAGTGGGGCCTATAAGAAAGACGGGGACAACCATTTTTCCAGGGTCCATTGCAATAGGACAAGGTATAATACTGGAACATGTTGCCCAGAGAGGTGGTAGAAGCCTCATCCCTGGAAATATTCAAGATCAGGTTGAATGGGGCTCTGAGCAACCTGATCTAGTTAAAGATGTCCCTGTTCACTCCAGGGTGGTTGGACTAGATGGCCTTTAGAAGTCCCTTACATCCCAAAACATTCTATGACTCTCTGACGCTCATTGGTTTGGGGAAGAAGGCAGACCTCTGGAGTTACCATGTCTTCCCATTTTCCTTTCAGCCATTGGACTCCAAGATCCCAGCAGTACAAGTCTCAAAGTGGAATGGCTGTTTTTTCCTCTGAAAATGGGAGAGAGATAACTCCTAACATATGAGCTGAGACTTTTCTGTTCATCTTGCTACTGCCTACAGAGCAGAAGTAGGGGTATGCAGTCAGGTATGTCGCTGTGCGCATCTGTATGTTCTCTTCCAGTACCTTTGAAACCTGCTGAA